TCCTCTGGCTGTACATGATGCAAAGTCACACAGGTGGTGCAATCATACATGTATATAGGGTAATAATGTCCATCTCATTCCACCATCTTTCCCACCCCCACACTCCCTCCTCTTCCCTCACTTCCCTCTGCCCAATCTGAAATTTCTCCATTCTTCCCTAACCCTTCCTTCCCCCCATTATGGATCACCCATCTGCTTATCAGAGAAAACATTTTTTGGCCTTTGTTTTTGGGGGAATAGCTTACTTTGCTTAGCATGATATTCTCCAACTCTACCCATTTACCTGCAAATGCCATAACTTGATTCTTCTTTAAGGCTGAGTAATAGTCCATTGTGTATATGTACCACAGTTTCTTTATCTATTCATCTATTGAAGGGCATCTAGGTTGCTTCCATAGTTTAGCTCTTATGAATTGAGCTGCTATAAACATTGACGTGGCCACATCACTGTAGTATGCAGATTATAAGTCCTTTGTGTATAAACGGAGGAGTGGGATAACTGGGTCAAATGGTAATTCCATTCCAAGTTGTCTGAGGAATCTCCATACTGCTTTCCAAAATGGTTGTACCAATTTGCAGTCTCACCAGCAATGTATGAGTGAATCTTATCCCCACATTCTCAACAACACTTATTGTTGCTTGTATTCTTACAGAATGGGAGAAAATCTTAATCACACCCACATCAAATAGAGCACTAATCTCCCAGATACATAAAGAACTCAAAAAACTTAATAGCAAAAAAAAACCCCACAAATAATTCAATCAATAATTGGGCTAAGGAACTGAACAGTCACTTCACACAAAAGAAGAAATACAAATGATGAACAAATATTTTTTAAAAAGCTCAACATCTCTTGCAAATAGAGAAATGCAAATCAAAACTATTCTAAGATTTTATCTCATTACAGTCACAATGGCAGTTATCAAAAATACAGAAATCTTTTTGTGCAGTAATTCAAACTTTAAAAACACTATTAAGACCAACCTTGTTCAGACCGATCAAAACACAGACATGTGTTCCGAGCCAGATGTGACCTTCTAGGGCACCAACCAAGAAGAAAAGGCAGAAAGGTCCCTGGAGCAGAGTATGAAAACCCTGAATGTGGAAGACAGTGAGAAGCCAGTGAAAGACCCCAATAATAAATACCCTGCCTCTCAATCAGAGAAGAAAGGAAACGTGTTTATGGAAACCTACTTCAGCCAGCAACCACGATGGGCATGTCCCAGCTGGAGATCCCTGGAAAACTGATGTTCCAAGGGCTACTGGCTGTTTCCAGAGGGGAAAGCTGAAGCAAGGAGCCGTTCGATTATTGTCTGTGATGATGCAGATGTGAAATGGTGATCCCGGGCTCAAAACTGTTCTCTTTTTTTAAAATTGATTCTTTTTAGTTATACATGACAATAGAATTCACTTTGATATGATTATACAAGCTTGGAATCTATCTTTTTCTAAATAGGACCCCATTCTCACAGATGAACACAGTACTCATTCCAACATCTGAGTGCTGTCAGCTGCCCCAATGGGACATCCCAGGATTGAGTATTTTGCTTCTTTTAATTGAAAAGGGGAGAAAAATAAAGGAAAAATCAAGGAGAGGGAATTTCATCAAAATAAGGAAAGATCAGTAGAGTAAACAAAGAGGACTGAGAAGGAAAAGGGGATGAGAAAAGGGAAGAACAGCGGAATGAATCTGACCAAACTATCAAATGTGCATGCATAAATGTGGCACAGTGGGTCTGACATCAGGGGATGCTAATTTTTTTTAAAAAAAAGTAAATAAACTGTAAATGGAGAGATGGGTGGGTTGGAAAGGAGGAGGGGAACAGGAGGCAGGGTGAAGTGCTGAGGATTGAATTGGAGTGGGTTGAGTTCTCTGCCTTTGTGATCATGTCAGGGCATATCCTGGTGTTAGAGAACTATAAAGAAAAGGGGTGTTCTGGGGTGTCTCTCAAGGCCTGGGCCTTATTGGTTAACAAATTTTTTTCTGCTCCCTCAAGGATTCTGCCTGTCCATTCTCCCACTCCGCCATAGCGGCCACCCCATCCTCTATAGCTCTCCCTCTCCCCTCTGACATCCCAATCTCTCAGAGTCTATTCTCCCTGCTTGCTTATAACTCAGTCTCTCATTTACCCAATTCTAAATTCCTACAAAGGAATCTAGTTGGTCCAGGATACTTTTTTTTAAGTTGTTCCAAGTCAGAATGGGTCATAGAGTCCAGATGACAGCCCAGGCATGACCCAAGGTAACCTCTCCCTCAGACCCCTCCTCCACCCTGTCTCTAAGCAACCCTTGTCTCAGGCCCAATCAACAGAGGCCATAATTATCTCATGTTATGAGCAAGACCCTTGGGTTGTGGGGGCTTGGGTGAGCCATTTCCCCTCAAGAGGGATATAGGCACAACAGCATTCCAAACACCTGCATTACCCCATGTTGGATTTTGGGAAATAGAAGTTGCCTAAAAGTGCTCACAATAGTTCACACTGTCAGCTGGAGGCCCCTGAGACACCCACAACTGCCCTATGTACCCCCTGGGTCATCAAGTTCATGACCCAGGTGAAAGAAGAGGACAGGGACCATCTCAAGACTCCACCAAGAAACCTTCACAATTTCTTCTGACCATGGAGTAGTCACCAACTGGATCAATGTCTCTTTCTTTCCCACAAAAAAGACTGGATGGATTTGGTTAGCAACAAATCCTCACTCCGTGTGTCTGTCTCTCTCTCTCTCTCTCTCTCTCTCTCTCTCTCTCTCTCTCTCTTTCTCTCATAGGGAGTGAACCCAGGACTACTTATGCTAGGCAAGTGCTCAGCCTCCAAGCTACATCCCCAGACCCTTGCCTGTTGGTGATGTGGAGAATCTAGAAAAGTCTCTGCAGAGCCCTCCAACTCAGTAAGGAGTTGGAAACATTACCTAATATGATGTTAGACGACTCATTCTACTGAGAGAAGGGCAGAAGTGTCAGTTCCCTTCAGGAATGCAACCACACAAAGCCCTCACTTTGAGTGGAAGCTGGCATTTTTTAAAAGAGAGCTTCACCCAGGTTATATTTATATATAAAAAACTTGCATATGTGTGTGTGTGTGTGTGTGTGTGTGTGTGTGTAAAATGTGAAGTTTGGTGTTCTGACCTATATAAACACCTGTAGACCATCACTACCATGAACATGTTCACCGCCCCAAGTTTTCTCATGACCATTTATAATACCCCCCTTACATCCTTCCCCACTCCCAATGCCCATATCTCTTGGCAACTACTTCTCTTTTTTCTGTCACCCCAGGTTGCATTTTCTAGTATTTTATAAATAACATCCACTCAGCTTTCTCTTTTCTCACACAGCATAATTATTTTGACAATCATCCATTTATGTGATTTATCAATAATTCACTACTTTTTATGGCTAAGTAGTATTCCACAGTATACATACCATATTTTGTTTATCCATTCACCTCTGAACATTTGGTCTATTTCCAGTTTGAGGTTACCACAAACAGCCAACATGAATATTCATGTATGATTGTACATATGTTTTCTTTTGCCTTGGGAAAACACCAAAGAATGTAATGGCTAGATCATTTGGTTGGTATTGTGGTTTGAATGTGACCCACAAAAGTTCCTGTGTTGGAAACTCCCATTTGTCAATGGTATTTGGAATTGGGGCCTTTGAGAAAGAGAGTTAGATGAGGTCACAAGGATGGAGCTATCATGAGGGTATTTGTGGCTTTATAAGAAGAGGAAGAGAGACCCCAAGGTAGCACACTTGTATTGTCTTTCCATGTGATACCTTCTGCTATGTTATGATATGGCAAGAAAGCCACCACCAATGCAAACAAGACACCAGCACCATGCTTTTGGACTTCCCAGCCTCTCAAACCATGAGTTAAATAAACTATTATTCTTATAAATTACTCAATCTCAGGTATTTTGTTCTAGTAACAGGAATTGGACTAAGACATTAGGCACATATTTGTGCCGTTTTGGTGCAACTTTCCTCTGGTTTTGGAGTGTCCTCAATGTGTATATTTAACTTACTAGATATTAAGGTACACACAGACCACATATGAACAAATAACACAGTCGCTCATTAGGAGGTCACAATCAGTTGCAGCTGGCTTTATTCCAGTCCTCCCAGATGTGTGAAGAGAGCTCCCGGGAGGGAAAACCTCCCTGGATGAACTTTGATTTGAAATGATGAACTTTGATGTAAAACACTCAGTGCACAAGCTCTCAAGCGCATCAACACTTTAGTAATAGCTCACAGAGGATTATGTGATCTGTCTCCAAGAGATCCTTTAAATAATGGCCGCGTCTCATAGGTCTATAATAGAACAGTCAAGGTCAATAGAGAAAACTTTGCATGCAATAAGGCAGGACAGGGGTTCTTCAGGGGGTAGTCACATCAACACCTTCTCAGAACTTGTTGGGACTGTGCATTCTCCCCAGCCCAGACCTACCTAGTGGAAACCATGAAATGGGGCCCCCCATCAACCTGGACTTGAACCAACCTTGCTGGTGATTCGGATGCATGCTTCAGTTTAAGAACCACCGGCCTAGAACATTTTTCAAGCCTTTCAACTTTACTAGAATTGAATCCAGCAGAAATTATAACACAGGAAAAAGTCTCATCCCTCTATTGCCTGGGTTCCACCCACAGACCTGTGGAGCCTGCCCTCTCAGAGTCTAACAGCCACAAGGACTAAGTTACCATGCAGAATGCAGAAGTGCACAACGATGTTATCACTTACTTTCCTGAAGCAGCAAACTTAGAAAAAAGAAAAAAAAATCTTAGGGAACACAATCATTGGAGCATTTAAATCCAACTATCAAAATCACCCATTTCCCTACATATGGCTTTCACCCTGGCATATGATGACATAAATGGAACTAAGAAAAAAAAAAGACAAAAATGTTAGGTGATGCACTCCAACTCTCTTTACTGCTCCAGACCCCACTGCAAATATATACATCAGCAGGAAAATTAATCAAACTTGAATAGGAAGAATTTGAGTAAAAATATTGGATACTTTTTACTTTAATCTTCAGTTTAAGCATGATTTCCACTTGACATTATAACCAGAGAGAATTTTTGATCTTTTCCTTGGTATTTTTCCATGCTTAAATTTTAGCCCAGTCCTTGAAAACTCTCTCCAGCTTCTGGCCAAGCAGAACCTTGCCACTCACTTTGAACTTGCCAGCCAGGAAAGCCTTCTGCGGATTCATTTTGCCCAAAACTAACTCCATAAAGACATTCTCTGGAATAGTGAAGACAGTGTCTGCTGGAAGCCTAGAAGATCCTGGATACATGTCCCCAGAGCCACTCTTCAGGTCAATGGTCCACTGCAGAATGATCTTACCATCTTTGGTGATGTCCAGCTGGAAGATGGCATTGACTTTCTTTACTAGCTGGCCTCCCACTTCTTTGATGTGATGGCTAATGTCCTCAAACACTGGGAAGCTCTGGAATGCTGACAGCTCTAGAGGGTTTGGCATGGCAAGTTCCCGAGCTGAACCCAAAGCTTTGAGCTGGCTCGCCTGAGGTCCATTCCCTGCTTTGATCTTGGGTTGATGGTCGATTCTCCTCCACATCTTTACTGTACTGGTCCTCTTGACCCTGCCGTCTGGTCTGTGGACAGCTGTGGCCAGATTAATACCCACAGGTCAGATTGTGACATCAAAGTTAAGGCCCAAGCAGGGACTGAGGCTGGTGTGTGTGTGCTGCAGTCTTATTGGCCAAACAAATTTTAAAATATGACATGGAGTGGGGGATCAGACAAGTAAGTGTGAAGTAGGTACACCCACGCACACACACACACATCCCAAAACAACTAGGGTCGTTGGTGCTACAGGTCCTTGAAAACTCTCTCCAGCTTCTGGCCAAGCAGAACTTTGCCACTCATCTGGAACTTTCAATGATGGTAAGGGAAACTGTCCCCAGAAGGCTTTGTCTTTCAAATGCAGGCACCTCCCTGATTGCAACCCTGAGAGAGCAGTTATTTTGATTCCTTTAAAGGTGGATAATCCTTAAGGTACAAATCATGATGCTGAATTTGGCTTTATCAAGATACTGGCCTTAGGGTAAGATGCTTTTAGGACAAAACAGTTTAAAATAGCTGATTGGAGAAGAAATCAGCACCAAGGCCAACATCAGAAACCTCCCGTCTTCCAGAAAAAGAGAGAAAGATGAGAGATTATAAGATCAACTGAAGATGCTGCTGATGTTGTTTGATAATTACATAAAATAATATAGCTCTTTCTCTGAGCCAATATGCTGAGTTCTAAGCACATTACATATATTGACACATTTAATTTTCATTGCAACCCCCTGAGATAGGTATTAAATTTATCCCCATTATATAGATGAGGAAATGAGGGAAGGAGAAATGAGGGGACTTGCCCAGAATCACATGGTTAGTAAGTAGTGTAGCCAGATTTGAAGGAGTCTAGAACCCACTCTTATTTTTTACTTTTTATTTTGAAATAACTTCAGCCTTACAAAAAGTTTACACAGTAGTACCTGTGTAACTGACCTCACCCAGATTCCCCAAATGTTAGCATCAGTACAATAATCTAATCCAAGAAGTTAACATCGGTATAATACTCTTAAGTGATCTACACTGTATATTCAGATTCTGCAAATTATAGCACTACTACCCATTTTTCTGGTCCACAATGCAGATTCTGGGCTTGGATTCTAGGTTGTTTTAATTGTGTGTCTTTCTTACCACCTCCTGTCCAGGGAAACTCATCCATCTTTGTCTATCATGACCTTGACACTACGGAAGAATATCTGCCATCCCCAAGAAAGGATGACAGATTGAGTTGGTGTAGTGTATTCTTGGTTATCAAAAAATACTCATGTAACTTCAGGATTTTGAATTGGTGAATATTCATGATGTGTGGAAAAACATGATACACACCACAATCTCAATCACACAAAATGGGATATTGTGTATATATGCAATATATACACAATATATACACCTAGAGGGACACATCCAACTAAGCTTCTTGTGACTGGCTGACTTTGTTCTTTGCTTGTGTGTTTTTGTTTTTTGGGTTTTTTTTTTTTGCCCCTGTAATGTACAATTTACTTTTAAAAAATAAAAATTATTTTAAAAACCAAAAAAAAAAGAATATCTGCCAGTCATTCCATAAAATGTTCCTTGTTTTGGGTTTGTCTAATGTTTCTCATGGTTGTTTGAGGTTGTACATTTCTGGCAGGAATATCCTATAAGTGATCTTGTCCTCTCCCTGGTGAATCATATTAGAGATACGTGACGTGAAAATGTTATTTTTGTCTCTTATCTGCTGATGTTGACCTTGATCACTTGGTTGAAGTTGTATCTACCAGAATTCTCCACTGCAGAGTTACTGTCTATTCTTCAGTGTCTTGTAGGGAAGTACTTTGAGAATGTAAATATCTGTTTTACATAATGCTTTGGTCCACTCCTTTTTGTATCCATCCTTGGCCCATATCTGCAGCCATCAGTGTGATGTGTAACAAATCATTTTACGTATTTTATATTCTCATTACTCCCTTGACATTTAATAATTGAAATTCTGCTATAAGGAGGTGCTGCCTCTTCTCTCTCTCTCTCTCTCTCTCTCTCTCTCTCTCTCTCTCTCTCATTTTATTTGTTCAGTTACTTATCTGAGTATGGACTTGTGAATATCTATTTTATTTTGTGTATTTATTGCCATTATTTATTTTCTTATTCAAATTGTCACAGATTTGGCCATTGGGAGTGCCATCGAGTTGGTATCTGTGTCCTTTCCTACATAAAACTGCTCTTGTAAGTGAAGCTACAATAAATGGAGTTGTAGCTGGCTTTTTTTTCTCTAGGAAGAGTGCAGAAGAATGAAAAAGGCTTCAGTACATTTGCAATGATGGATGAGCTACATTATCAGCATTGAACAGTTATACAAAACCCAATGGTGTCCAAGTTTTTACCATAAAGCCACCAAGGGTGAACAACATCTGCCCAGACAATTTTAAAAGAAGAAGGAAGGGAATTATCCAACAACTTCTCTACAAGCAACCAACAGAGAGGACTGAGCCCATATCTGCTTTTCCTTAAGGATAGGGGTTGTCCCATTTGAATTATTCAGACAGGTCCCCAACTGGACAGGTCTCCTTCCTCAGTATAACAGAAGGGGACATGGCCCTTACGGAAGAAATTCAAAGCAATCCAGGATTCAAGAGAGTGTTTCACCAACAACATAGATTGAAACTGCCATTACATAGTGACACCAACTTTTGGTTAATTTTATTATTTAAATTCTCACCAGATAATGCTCCTCTTATTTCCTTCTCTATGACAGGCTGCTTCTCATACCCTGACTGACATACCACTGGCCTCTAGAAAGCATACCCCCTCCAACTAGGCATGATCTTCGATCTTCCATATCCCCTTGAAATTATTTCTTCTTCAGTTGCTATTCAACCCAAGAACCTAGTGATAGCAAATTTATCATTTTGGGATTCTGCAATCTTTAAATGCTTTAGAATAATGTGAAACTTGTTCTCTTTTTTAAAAAAGTTACAAAAGTCGTTTTATTAAATAAGATGACTTTAGTCTCAAGGAACAACCACCATCATAAAAATTTTTTTAAAAAGAAAGAATGAAAAAAGAAAAGAAAACTTTATCCAGTGGTGATTCTGACATGTGGCTCCAAAGCAGCAGCAGCTGCATCACCAGGGAACTGGTGAGAGAAATGCATGTACCCAGGCCTCACCCCAGATCTGCCTAATCAGAAAACTCTGGGTGTCGGTTAGTCAGGGTTCCCCACAGAAAGAGAATCCATAAGATATTTTAAAATTGAAAGATTTTTTTGACAGTGATTTCCTACATGCCCACCAATATCCTGTCATTAACATTTTATTTCAGGTGTTTGAATCCTTTCATCTTATTTTTTATTCATTTCAAAGTAAATTATAAGCATCAGTAACCCCAAAACACTTAAACATGCAGAACATTTATGAGAGTTTAATATATGTTTACAGTTGTTAAATGTAAAATTTATATACAAAGAAATGCACAACTCCTAAGTGTGCATTTGCTGAAAGTTTAGCTATGTGTATACTTGAATATAACAAATTTGAATGCCAGGTGACCCTACCTCTCCCACAGAGTCTTAAGAATGGATTCCCATGCAGTGGTGCAGAAGCCTAAACAATCAGTACCCTAGATCCCTTCTTCATTCCTCAAATAGAAGGCTGCTTCCCTGGAAGTGTGAAGCTGTCACCATGAGACCCAAGAGGAAGATCTCAAAGTTCCTCTACCATAGATCCAAAGACCTGAGGTTACAATTCAGGATTTCCACCTTGAGAAGATGCCATAGTTTCTGAGCCTGCACACAAATGGAAACCAAGTGTTATGGTTTGGATATGAGGTGTTACCCAAAAGCTCCTGGGCTAATGCAGAGGTAAAATGATTAGATTAACTCATTTGAGGTATTAATGATTTGAGTGAATTATTCAGTGGTAACTGTAGGCAGGTGGTGTGTGGTTTGGAATAAGTGAGTCACAGGTAGCCYGCCTTGGGGATTATATATCTTGTCTGTGGCTCCTCCCACATGCTCTCTGCTTCCTAGCCACCATGAACTGACCGGATTTCTTCTGCCTCACCCTTCCACCCTGATGTTCTGCCTCACCTCAGGCAGGGAACAAGGGAATCAGCCAATTTATGGACTGAGACCTCTGAAACCATGAGCCCAAATTACACTTTTCCTCCTCTAAATTGTTCTTGTCGGATATTTGGTAACAGTAATAAAAATCTAACTAATATACCAAGTTTCCTTTTTCTAACTTGTTAAATTTTTGATCAATCCCTAATAATCATATTTTTATGGGATACAATGTAATGTTTTGATTCATGTATATATCGTATAATGATCAAAAGGTCATCAGCATATCCATCACTTGAATAATTTCTTAACACTTCTGAAAGCTAATGCTGTTCTTTGCCTCATTTGGTTTCCAATAGGATCATCACCCACTTTCTTGGCTCTGCTGATTCCAGCAATATTTTTAACAAAGTTGAGCACACAGCTGGGGACCAACAAACACTTTCAGGGTTAGTTGTTCAGTTGTAGGTTGGTGAATACCACTTCTTCCAGAGATAATGTGCCAGGGCCTGCAGGGTGCACATGGAAGGGCAGAAGCAGAAACTTAGCTCTCAGGGACCTTACAATGTAGGAAGGAGATATGTCAGAATTCTAGCTACCTCTGTGTTATGAACTGAATGTTTGTTTCCACCCCAAATACATATATTGAAGTTTTAATCCATATCATGATAGTATTAGGAAGTTTGGCCTTTGGCAGGTAATTAGGGTTGAATTAGATCATGAGGGTGGAGCCCCATAATGAGATTAGTGCCCTTATAATAAAGAAAAGACATGAGAATGTTCTTCCCCTCCTTCTCCCCTTTCTTTCTGTCTCTCATCATGTAGCAAGAAAAATGACCACATGAGCACACAGCAAAAAGGTGACCATCTGCGAGTGGCCCCCGCCAGAGCTGAATCTGTAGGCATTTTGATGTTGGACTTCTCCACTTGTAGAATTATAAGAATTAAATGTCTTTTTGTTTTAAGGCATCCATTCTATGGAATTTCATTATAGCAATTCAAGCAGACTAAGAAACTCTGGACCCTTGCCAGAACTTGGCATTG